TGATGTGCCAGCTCGAGAGGATGTTCAGGTCCAGATCGGCAGGTATCACTTCGTGAGTAGTTATCCATACTTTGCTGCTTTTATGTGCTTTCAGCTGAATAAATGCTCGATGTAGTCACCTCGTTCTGGCGTGATTATTGCTGAATCCCGAGCCCATCCGGAACAGCTAGGCAGCATTTTCCCCTCCAACAGTTCTTAGCACGAGCAGTCAGAGTAAAATCATATTACATATTATCATAGCGCAGTCATACACAGTCACAGGATAAAACAGAGGGTCCCTTCATGTGCATTGTGTATCATACTAACCTTTCACTTCCTGCACCTCAATGCCAGCCTTTTTAACTGACCGATATTCCATTTCTGTAAGACACAATTGCTCTTCAGGACAACTGACATTTTAAAACAACGCTCAGTGACATTTCCCTGCTAGCTTCCTCCAATGTATCGCACAACCCCACAGGAAATACTTACATTAGCATCTGAATGTCACTGAGGAGAATCAATATAAAGCATTCAATAGCTCACAACCCCATTACAAATAAATAAATATTTCTCATGCTAGAGAGAGCTTTTATGGTTATGTGTAAAGCCCCTTAAAAATCATATGCTTAATTGTAATCAGAAGCGATAAGCTAGTTGATAAGGACTGCTTAGCTACTACAGTTTTATACTGCAATATATGCTACAGAAGAAATTAATACACAGGACTCTGACCTGAAAGTGGTAAGTGAATACAGTATTTTTTGTGTCCTCGTATGTCTTTGAATAAAAGCTTGGAGTATTCTTGTTCACATTGCTATTTGCAGAAAGAGCCACATCCAGGCAGATTTACATCTTATCTGGTCCAGTTTCCTTTTATCAACAGCAGCTGGTACCAGATGCCTCAAAGCAAAATCCATGAATTATAAACAGATAAATATGGAATAACTGGCTTAGCCAGAAGTTCATTTATAACAGCAGACTGTTCAGCTGGTTGACTAACGCTCTGAAGCCTGAGGCTTTCTCTCTCATACATTTTTTCCATCCTGTATAACTTGACAGTAGATTATATTGTTATTGCTATGAAAGGTCTAATCCCTCTCTGAATCCTGCCACGTTGATGTCTGACTAATCAGGTTCCTCTCCTTGAAGTCAAGATGCTTGGTTTGGAGGTTACTAGATTAAACTGGGAAGTATTTCCAATTAATGGGAATAGGACTTCAAATTACACTGGATTCCTTTTCTAATGGTAAATAATCCCAATAAGATGAAGATCTATTTATGGTGACTGGTGGCTTTATTTCAGCCTCCAAGAATTTCCTATGTGACAACGCCTAAGGAAGCAGTGGGGCTTGACAGCAAAAAATACATTAAAAGAAATAAATCAAATCCACACTAAGAAGCTGAAGAGCCATGCTTTTGTTTAAGCGTGTACTAGCAACATGATAAGGGATACTGTGAGGCAAGTGTCTTTTGATTCCTCCTTCTGTGACAAATCAATTTATGTACCTAGGACTCTTCTTAACAGCATACACAGCAAAGTGGTCTTTTAAAAAAATCTGAACTGCAACATGCAACTTATGGCAGAACTCCCAGTATACTAAAATTATCATTAGGCCTCCAAGTTTTTGACAGTGTTCACTTATCCGAGGCTATAAAGTGTGAAGTTGGGACACTTGAGAACAAGAAGAACACACTTTCTGTGGATGTGAACTTCCACACTGTTCTGGCATGAACATCTCCAACAAATACTGTTTTATCTTCTGAAGCAACAACATCGCGTGGCATCTCCAAGCTCTGTAAGGATAAACAGTCACAGTTTACCTAAAAGTCTACACACTCACAGTCTGATAGAAAATAAAAAGGCTGGTTTAACGCTGAACTTGACTCCTTAGACTTGAAATCATAGGAGATCCTGGTGCCAAGGCCTAATATGAGCAAAGGGGAGGAGTTTCCTACCTATTGTGCATGTTTGCTTTCTCTAGGAACATCAACATGGAGATTACTAGATATATTCATGCTAAACAATTTATATTTATATTCTTGCAATCAATTTTATCCTCTGAAATAATCCATTTGAAAGCTAAACTTGCTAGCAGAGATGCATACTTCACACACAAATATCAGCTATAGCGGTGAACAGACTTCCAAGCTAAATGTAGCCTATCAATGGGGGGTTATTTTTTGTAATCATATGGCTCTACCTCCACTATAAAATGACATTTTTTAAACTTTTAAGCAAAGGAAGCAACCCTAAAAGAGGCAGCATACAAACATGCCATCAGAACAGCAGCTCTAAATATTGATACGTTGCTACTATACTATATCACTAATTTCCTATCAACTCAGTCTAAGTCTGAGCTGTTCCTTTTCCCAAAGCAGCATGCTGATATTCAGTGGAAACACATAATTGCTTATAAATGTTCCAAATAGTGTAGGTGAATACAGGATCCTATTTCACAAGCTAGGATTTTAACGGATGAAATCCCGTAACTTACTAGAAACAATGTATTAGACTCTTTAAGGCATGTTATAGACAACGGATCATGAGAAATATCAGAAATTATATTATTAACAGTCTCTTAGTCATAACCACAAACGCTACAGACAAGTTTGTGACATGGGTTGAAGATTTGGCCATCTAGCCTTCGGTTTTTGCAGACTAGGCTCTTCTGTTTGGCTTTATCCTTCAAATTCATTTCTTGCTCTGAACCTTGGTATCCACAACTAATTACATGAGGAGCTTCTACGAGAAGCAATAAACTGCTGTTTGCTGAGTAAATTCCAAAGTAACTCTGATTTGGTAGGCAATTTAAAACTAGTTTATTGAAGAATTCAAAAATATCCGCCTTTATTCTGAAGAAATGTCTCTTCCCAACTACTACTGCTCCCCAGAGTAAAAAGGTTCAAGAGTGAGGAGAGTTCCACTTTCCTAGAATGGAGAACCCGAGGAACCTGGAATAAGAAACCACCCATGAAAGTGACGCCTGTTTAGAAGCAGGTGTATAGAATCTCTGGCCTGGATACCTTTCCTGAATCATCTAGTCTAGATGTAGGAATTAACAGATTCTTCCCCAAACCAATTTTCCTATCACTGGCTTAAAACTGGATTGCAAACAACACAGTATGCATGCTGCCTAGAACAGGATGCCTAGCATTTATTCTTCACTCTAACACAATTTATGGGACCTTAAATTATTATTTTTTAAACTATACATATAGTTTGTATTTACTTTTATGAAATACTGTGTCAATTAAGTTTAGCCTGAACTTCTGCACTAAAATTCTGCCAAGAAGGGATGTGGCCATACTATTCAGTGTTATCTCTGCTCAGGAATATACTCTTTCTTTTTTGTCATCCTACTAGTATCTAAATATAAGAATATTTCCAGACCTTCATTCTTCACTTAAATTAGCTTTTAAGTATTTCTTGCCATAAAAAAAAAAAAAAATCTGGGTGAAGGGTCATCTTGAGGCTTCAAACATGTGGCACAGCTAGAATATAAGGCCCATAGTTCAAGGGTCTTTATCAAGTTCATACCATAAAGAATTCCTTTTGCATACTATTCTATACACTGTGAAACATCTCATTTCCCTAAGTCTCTTACAAGTGGAGAAGATGTTAGCAGCATCAATTGGATGCACAAGGCAGTCTATACAATACTCTACCTTTCTAACAGGACTGAAAGTATCAATTATTTCTCCAGTAGAGAAGTTCATCACAAATCCTTGCACTGGTTTCGTCTCTCCAGGATAAGGCAATCCATTAACTGTGAAGAGGAGACCACCTGCAACAGCATCCACACTTACTTTTGCAATCCATACATTGCTCACTACAGCTGGGAGCAAGTGTAACAGCACAGATGAAAGCAGCTGTCTCCAGGCAAGACAGTGAGCGTATCAGAGGTAACTCAACAGAAAACCCAAGCACTGCAGGAGAGTCAGAGGTGTAACTGGCTTTTAAGATATGGAAAGCTTGCCAAAACAACATGATGAAGCTCAATCTTTGTGTTGACTTTATTGCTGAAGGTGTTGGGGAGACTTCCCCACTCGATATATACATTTTTTTTTTGTAGTAGTAGAGAGGTCAGAGGAGCCATCTCAGTTTGAATACTGAAGGTATTACACAAGTTAGAGGTTAATATTTCACTAGGACTAGATGATATTCACCTGAGTCCTCTAGGAACACAAATGTGAAATTAGAGCCAAATTCCAAAGCAGGAATTACTTTGGCACTCTGCTGCTATCTACAAAAAAGACTAAAAGGGGTGCCTGGGAAGTAGAGAGCAATGATTCTGGCTTCCATCCCCAGGAAGATGGTAGAGTCCATAACGAAGAATAAGGTTCCTGAGTACATGGATAAGCAAAACAAAAAATCTACAACTTTTAAGAATTGTTTGCTTTCATTTTTTTTTTCTTTTCAGAAACTCAGTAATTTCTTTGACTATTTGGAAGCCTTTTATTTTGCTCTCTTTAATGGAGCTTGAAATGAATATTTTAAAACATTGTCATTAACTAATTATTTGACTGTGCAATCACTGAGAAACAAAGTCTCATCTACTTGTGACATCATATTTAGGGAATCTAATTAATCATTTCTCAGGAGCAGACGTTATATGCTAAGCTTTTTTTTTTTTCCCCTCCTTCCCAAAATAATACAGTTCTACATTTTTCCATTGCATCAGCACACCTTTGAAAGAGAATAATATCGTGCCTAAGATACACAATAGCACTCTTAATGGAATAACACTGTATATTGTGATATACTGTCATTAAACAAGCACTTGAAATCCAAAAAACATGAGAAACCATTACCTGGCACATAGGAAACGGCAAACAATTCTCTTCCAAATGATTTGTGCTTGATCTCCCTTATGAACTGCCCACTCCCTAACTCGAAGCACTGGATGCGACCGTTCTCCCTGTCTGCAATGCAGAGCTGACTGAATTCAGGGATCAGGGCTAAGCTGTGAGGGATACGGAACTGCCCAGGTCTGGCTCCATCTGAAGAAGTGCCTGTAATGCGAGACACATAGATCTGTGTGAAGGTACACACTGAAACCTTCATCTCTGACTAGAAACCACCATATTCCACCTAATGCATAGGAAAAGAATAAACTCACTCGGTTTGCTTTCCCCCTCCCCCTTAACAGGTTCGTTCATTTAGGTAAGCTGCGCTGCTCTACCCTGCTGTCTTTGCAAAATCTGAATTTATGAATTAGTTATTCTTCTATAAAAACTTGGAGTAGCAGAAGGCTTGACACATAAGTCTGAAACGTGCTCAAGAACATGCCAACTATCTGCTTTGGAAAATCCCCTAATATTAGGGAATTTATAAATACCCACTTTGGCTAGCTGTATAACCAGAAGCGAGAGAACGGGAAGGCCAAAACTCGTTTGTGCCTTTGAAGATATTACTGTAATAGATGCAAATACGAGTAATAATATTGACAAGCTCGTGGCTCGTGATGACACGCGTTCCCAACAGCGGTGATAGCAGTTCAGCACCATGAGCCCTAACTGTACCTTCACCCCACTGCTTGAGGAACAACCTGCTGGCACAGAACTGAATGATTCGGCTGTTGCATGAGCCATCAGAGACGTAGATGCTGCTGGTGACTGGATCCACAGCCACATCGGTTGGTTGACAGAAGTGATTTTTTCCACTGCCCAGTTGCAGCACTATTCCTAAGCTCAATAATGGCTCTTTATCATCCGCTCCCAATTTGAAAACCTTTGTTTTAAGTCAATGGGAAAAGATAAGAAGTCTTAATTGTGGAAGATGACACACCAGAGGGATGACTGCTTATGGAAAAACACATCTATTATTTTGTATAAAATAAATGTATTACCAAACATGACCTTTGCATATTGACTATGAAATCTACTATCAGCTTTACAGTAGTGTCAACTCTGCACAAAATAAAAATTTCCTGTGATTTCCATACATGGTTTAGCTTTACATTCAAGGTATGGGAACACAGGAATTGCCAAGCAGAGCTTTAGCAGAATAATCTGTTCTTTTACAGAGGAGACACTGTTTTAAAAGAGCAACTTTTATTTCTGCATGTCCATGTAACAAATTACTCCACACAACTATATGCCACTATGGCCCTGAGGTTCAATTTTTTCAGGTGTTTTCTTAATGGACTGCAAACGGTCCTAGCTAAATAACTGGTATCAAATCTGTAAGAAAATACAGAAATTATCTTTGGCATATGCTTTAAGGTCTTGGCATTGAGGCTTCAGAAATGTACCTGATGGAGCGCTACATCAGTGACCCAGTAGTTACCATTCTGGTCTATACTCAAGCCATGTGGTAAATAAAATCTGCAATCACAAATATCGAGGGATTGAGTTAAAAACATTTTTCAGGAAGAACAATTTAAAACAGGGTTTTCAAGATTTCACTTTTTAATCTACAGGTCACCAAATGCTCTACTTACTTACTAACAACATATAGCATTTAATGAAGAAAACAGTGTTATAAGATAGAAGTTTCTCAACAGGAGTTTCAGTTTTGGAATTCCCACCGTCTCAGGTACATCACTGGGACTAATATTATCTTTAAGGACAATATACACTGGCCACTCCTATTTTTTGTTAATCTGTTTCTGTTAATCTGGCTAGTAGATGAAATGATATGAACTGCTAGAAAGCTAAAGTGGTGGGGAGGCAAAAGGAGTGAGGTAGATATTGTGGTTTTTTTTTTTTTGGGGGGGGGATGTTTTTTGGACTGAGTAAACTCAGAGGCTACAACCATTGAATGTAACTTACAAACAAGAAAGGTCTGGGGACTCTCCAGAGCAAAAATAAATAAATAAATAAACATATATATGTGTATGTGTCTAAATATATATATATATATAATTAGTTCTACTAATAACAGCAAAATGACTTACAGATTTTTGCCCGTGGAATGAAGCAGTTGAGCACTACTCGGATTCAGCACCAGAATGGTGTCCTGTTCAATTGGTCCAACTCCTTGTTGTCGATACACAAATTTGCTGTCGAAAGAGCTACACAGAAATATTGGAACACAAAGCTAGGGTTAATAGGATCCACTGATGGACAACACACATAGCTGAGACTTGAGTTTTGCAGAATAATTCTAGTCCTTTTTCTTGTTAAGTAAACCTTATTATACTTTTGTGCCATTATGTAAGGGTTCTATTCTTGGATGTCAAATCTCCTTGCTGAGGTTATGACTTCTGAAGCACCAAATCAACACGGCAACAACTGAGACAAACCTAAGTTTTCTCCTATTAAAACAATGAAACAAACACACACAAATCTCTGACTCTATGAAATAGCATAACCTAACTAAAAGCATAGACAATCATCAAGGCATAACTGTCCATATGAATTGGTACACACTATCTGCGGTATTTGATTGTGACTAAAATGCTGGAATACATGATATGCTCCCCCTCTTTCACCCCCAATTTTTAAACCCATTTCTTACCCCCCCCTAAAGAGAAATCCAACTCTGATTGATGCAAGATGGTAAACAAGAATATACTTGTAACAGCAAAGGCCACAAACACAGCTTTTAAAGCTATCTTGTCCACTCCTAGCAGCCTAACCTCTGCATTACATTAAATATTCATTACTGAGAATATTCAATGTGGCAAAGCAATTCTGACTTCATATATAACCAGCAAAATATATGAAGTGTTTAAGTTTCTGCAGAGACTACAATTAAAAAGCAATGTTCAGACATTACCATTATGTATAGTAACTACCTGCTGCTACCTACTTAATTCCTGACTGAAAGCGATAAATCATGTTTACTATGAACGGTTATGCACAAGGTGATAGCTACTTAAACTCTCTGCTAAGCCCTCCTAAAAACTGTTTGTCTTAATCCTATAAGGAGATGCAGGGCAAATACTGCTGGCTCACACTAGGCTCCCCATCCAATAAATGAGGATTTGAGGCGGAAGTCAATTGAACTTTTAACTAAGCAAGGCCAGAAAATATAGTTAGTGTTTGGAGGCTGTGAGCAAATGCTTATTTGTTAACCCACAACAGAGAAGCAAAAACTTGCTTGCTCCTGGCTCCAGTGGAGTCCTGTTACTCTGCAAGACTGCTTTCAATATGATGCTTCCCACCAGGTATGTGGTGCATGAGATCATATTCCCTTATCCTTTTGCATATCCAAGAAAAGTGCAGGAAAGGCAGCTGTGCAGCTCAAGTAGATGACTTTTTGCCTCAGCTTTATCTGAGTTTAAACATGATAACGTTTTGGGTGACCAGGAAGTGTGAGGCTGTTTTGTTGTTTTCTGGATTCAGTCGGCGTGGAACTCACAGCCTCCGGTGAGATGTCTGTCACTGGGGCGCACGGGTTACTGGGGCGTCCGATGATCCGGTCCTGTGAACAGAAACTCACAATTTTCATTAGTTTTATTTTGAAGGTCTGGTTTAATAGACTTAAGCGGGCACCACTTGACTCTGCCATCTTTCCTGACAGCGGCATACCCTCAGAATAATTCTAGTCCTTTTTCTTGTTAAGTAAACCTTATTATACTTTTGTGCCATTATGTAAGGGTTCTATTCTTGGATGTCAAATCTCCTTGCTGAGGTTATGACTTCTGAAGCACCAAATCAACACGGCAACAATTGAGACAAACCTAAGTTTTCTCCTATTAAAACAATGAAACAAACACACACAAATCTCTGACTCTATGAAATAGCATAACCTAACTAAAAGCATAGACAATCATCAAGGCATAACTGTCCATATGAATTGGTACACACTATCTGCGGTATTTGATTGTGACTAAAATGCTGGAATACATGATATGCTCCCCCTCTTTCACCCCCAATTTTTAAACCCATTTCTTACCCCCCCCTAAAGAGAAATCCAACTCTGATTGATGCAAGATGGTAAACAAGAATATACTTGTAACAGCAAAGGCCACAAACACAGCTTTTAAAGCTATCTTGTCCACTCCTAGCAGCCTAACCTCTGCATTACATTAAATATTCATTACTGAGAATATTCAATGTGGCAAAGCAATTCTGACTTCATATATAACCAGCAAAATATATGAAGTGTTTAAGTTTCTGCAGAGACTACAATTAAAAAGCAATGTTCAGACATTACCATTATGTATAGTAACTACCTGCTGCTACCTACTTAATTCCTGACTGAAAGCGATAAATCATGTTTACTATGAACGGTTATGCACAAGGTGATAGCTACTTAAACTCTCTGCTAAGCCCTCCTAAAAACTGTTTGTCTTAATCCTATAAGGAGATGCAGGGCAAATACTGCTGGCTCACACTAGGCTCCCCATCCAATAAATGAGGATTTGAGGCGGAAGTCAATTGAACTTTTAACTAAGCAAGGCCAGAAAATATAGTTAGTGTTTGGAGGCTGTGAGCAAATGCTTATTTGTTAACCCACAACAGAGAAGCAAAAACTTGCTTGCTCCTGGCTCCAGTGGAGTCCTGTTACTCTGCAAGACTGCTTTCAATATGATGCTTCCCACCAGGTATGTGGTGCATGAGTGTTGGGTTGGCTACGATGGCAGTCCATCCCATTGTCCTACACACAAGCCTTTGTTATGGCAACAGTAGCCTCTCTGAAACTGAAACCGAGGCGTAAACCACTTGGCTTAAGCCTAATGAACATATTAATCTGGTTCCAGAATTATCCAAATCCAAAAGTAAAGAGTTTATGTTGGGGATTGGCTACGAGAGCGTGGGCATGAGTATGGATCCACTGACTTTGGTTCAGGCCTGCAACTGAGCAAGCAGGGCCTTCTGGGAGATTAGGCCTCAGGAGAAAAGTGCTGACGACGTGCTGGTAAGGCAAGGACACTCTGTCCTTGGCTAGTTTCGTAAACAACTTTGAGGGGATAAGGCAGGAAGAATGAAGAAGCTGCATTGCTTATCGACCGTAATCTGGGCTGGCCATACTGAAGTAATCTTTCTAATAAACAATCAAATACCGCTAGCAACCAATCACCGACTGGCACGTTGGCATGCTCTAGCTGTAACTGTATAAATGTGTGCTGTCTCGGGCAATAAAGTGAATACTGCCTATCACTCATATTGAGATGTCTTAACTCAGCGTATTCCTCCACCACCCGCACATGAGATCATGTTCCCTTTATCCTTTTGAATATCGAAGAAAGGTGCAGGAAAGGCAGCTGTACAGCTCAAGTAGATGACTTTTGGGAAGGGATAGGTACCTAACTGTGACATTTGGGCACTAATAGTGATATGTGAGCCTTTCTTTAAAAGTGAGGGGAGTGGATATGATTTAGGCCTCTAAGTAGGTAGTTTTCTGTCTTGTAACAGCAGCCTATCTGCTTTTGGTTGGTTTTGCTCCCTAAACAGACTACTTGAGTAATCAGGTAACTTGCAGTGCTTCTGCCATCTACTCCACTTGATTAATTTCTCTGCTCCATGTAGATGTTCCACTACTACAGAACATCCACCTTTAGAAACTAAGAAATCTTGGTATTTATTCAGCATGCTCAATGAAGTCTTCAAATATACTTTCCCATTCAAGACTTAGATCTTTATGCCTAAAATGGTAAACCAAGCTGTTCTTTATTGTTCTTCACAACTCTTGCATAGAATCACGGGATGCTTAGGGTTGGAAGGGACCTCTAGAGATCATCTAGTCCAATCCCCCTGCACACGCAGGGACACCTAGAGCATGTGGCACAGGGTGGCATCCAGGCAGGTTTTGAAGATCTCCAGAGAAGGAGACTCTATAACCTCTCTGGGCAGCCTGTTCCAGGGCTCTGTCACCCTCACAGTAAAAAAGTTCTTCCTCATATGGAGATTAAACTTCCTATGTTTCAGCTTACACCTGTTACCCCTCATCCTGTCACCAGCCACCACAGAGAAGAGCCTGGCCCCATCCTCCCTACATTCACCCCTCAGGTACTTGAACATGTTGATCAAATCTCCTCTCAGCCTTCTCTTCTCCAGACTAAACAGGCCCAGCTCGCTTAGTCTTTCCTCATACGACAAATGCTCCAGTCCCTTAATCATCTTTGTGGCTCTCCGCTGGACCCTCTCTAGAAGCTCAATGTCCCTCTTGTACTGGGGAGCCCAGAACTGCACACAGTACTTCAGGTGTGGCCTCATCAGAGCTGAGTAGAGGGGGAGGATCCCCTCCCTCGAACTGCTGGCAACACACCTCCTGATGCAGGCCAGGATCCCATTGGCCTTCTTGGCCATGAGGGCACAATGCTGATTCATGGTTAATTTCTTGTCAACCAGGACTCCCAAATCCCTGTCTATGGAGCTGCTTTCCAGCAGGTCGACCCCTAATCTGTCCTGGTGTCTGGGGTTATTCCTCCCCAGGTGCAAGACCCTGTACTTGTCCTTGTCGAACCTCATGAGGTTCCTCTCTGCCCAACTCTCCATCCTGTCCAGGTCCCTCTGAAGGGCAGCACAGCCCTCGGGAGTGTCGGCCACTCCTCCCAGTTTGGTGTCATCTGCAAACTTGCTGAGGGTGCACTCTGTGCCCTTGTCCAAGTCATTGATGAACAAGTTGAAGAGTACTGGGCCCAGAACTGACCCCTGCGGGACACCACTGGCTACAGCGGGACACCAGACGGCCTCATTTATCACCACCCTCTGGGCTCTGCCATCCAGCCAGTCCCAAATCCCCTTCAGTGTCCACTCATCCAGTCCACACTTCCTGAGCTTCCCTATGAAGATGTTATGGGAGACTGTGTCGAAAGTCTTGCTGAAGTCAAGGTAGACACCATCCACGTCTCTCTCATCGTCCATCCAGCCAGTCATCTCATTGGAGAAGGCTCTCAGGTTCATCAGACACGACTTTCCCTTGGTGAATCCATGCTAAAAATCCATGCTTTCCTTCCCCCAAATCCCACTGGCTGTAGTTTAAATGCATTTAAAGCTACCCTTGATCTGCCTTACTTATAACTAACGTTATTGCTAAAGCATCTCACAGTTGATTACGCTTTGGCTTGGATGTTTCATTAGATCTTTGGAAACACTTTAGCCTTTATGTAATTTGGATTCA